CCCGAGTCCCGGTCCGACACGCTCAGCAGGGCCACCACCGTCCCCAACGACGCGTCCTCGGGCACCGGCACCGACAGCGACGTCACCCACACCTCCGGCGCATTGTCGTTCACATCCAGCACCTCCAGCAACACCTTGCAGTGACCCGACAGAGGAGGGGAGCCTTTATCCCTTGCTTCTACAGGGATCTCGTAAATATTCATTTCCTCATAGTCTAATTTGCCTTGTAGTCTGATCTCTCCTTTGTTTTCGTCGATAGTGAACATTTCTTTAACTTGTGTACTAGCACGCCTACCAAATAAGTATATAATATCACTATTGATCCCTTCGTCAGGATCCGTTGCACTAAGCGTGACTAACAGACTTCCGAGCTCGGAACCTTCTAAGGCTTTAACTTTATAAACGGATTGGTTGAACTGGGGCGCATTGTCGTTTGCATCCACCACCGAGATCACCAGCTCCATTGTCCCCGTCAGAGACGGCCGGCCCCCGTCAGTCGCCGTCAGCACCAACCGGTGCACGGGAATCGTCTCCCGGTCCAGAGATTTCGTTAAAATAAGAGCCAAAGTTGCGCTCTGGTCATTATTCCCCTGATGATCAAGACTGAAATACTCGCTAGGGCTGAGCGCATAGGTCAGCTGAGCGTTCGCTCCGATATCCGCATCCGACGCGCCCTCCAGCGGGAAACGAGACCCCAGCAGAGACGATTCCGCGATGTTAAGGGCTTCTTCGTCCTCACGGAACATGGGGGCATTGTCGTTGATGTCGGTGACCTCCAGCTGCACATGGAAGACGCGCAGCGGCCGCTCCAGCAGCACCTCCAGGCGCAGCGGGGAAGACGGGGGCATTGTCGTTGATGTCGGTGACCTCCAGCTGCACATGGAAGACGCGCAGCGGCCGCTCCAGCAGCACCTCCAGGCGCAGNCCGCACACGCTCTGTGACAGCGCCTGTGCACCCGCTGCGTCATGGCCACCTTCTCTTCCGTTTCTTCTTGCCGTGCTGCTTTTGTATTTTATCCTTTGGACTTTTTCCTCTGCTTTCTTCTTACCCCTTCCTGTATCTCGCCAGGCGCCTCCAGAGTCAGACTGCAGAAAAAACAAGCTGGATCCACCAACCCGACTTACGTGGCATTAGCGTCGGACCGCGGAGTAGTCCAATCGAGGCGGGGACTCTTGAGAACCAGCCCCACCAAGCGATTAGAGGTAAAGTAGTTTCATACTGCTGATGTACTTTGCTGACGTTTTCTTCTCCTTGTCATCTTTCATCTTTACTTACCTCCTTGTGTAATACCTTCAAAGCATCTTCTCTCTTTCTCTTCTCTCATTCCTTTTATGTCTTCCTTTCTCACTCTTCCCCCTTTCTCTTTACAGTGAGAGCATCTGTGACATACCAGTAGATTCGTCCATCCATCCTCCCCTTCTTCCATTTTCCCATCTTCCTCCTTATGCTCCTCCCACCTTCACTGTCCTTATGCACACACATACTCTCTTCTTCCTCATCTCCATTACCAATGTATTTTTCCATTACTTCCCTCTCCCCATGAAGCACAGACACGCCACTCATGACAGTTCTTGTTCCTCTCCATTGACATCTTTCATCTCTCCACTCAAGGAGCAAACTTCCTGCTCACTTCAAGTCTGTGCCAGACTGACAGAGTGCTCCTACACCTCACCTTTTGGAAGGAAATCACACTGTTCAGGCTCCATTCTCTCAAGGGAGAGAATTCACAGCCTCTGAAACACAGACTAAATCCCTAGGTACTTTGACATTGCTGTAAAGAGACTTGACTAAGCACAAACAACCCTATGAATCTCCTTCAGGAACTCAAAGCCATCAAGGCCCAGCACACCAATCCATCCTGAATGCTGAACACCACAGCTCCTGAACACTCTTCATATACTCTGATAAAGAGCTGTTCTTCAGGCCTCATTTGCCCCCTGTATGTTGAGTGTAAATTTCTGACTTCATATTTCAGGCAGGCCAGCAGAGTCAGAAACACACAGCAAGAATGTCCAACCCCAGGGGCATATTGCCCTTGCAAATCCTCTGTGCAGTCTGATCCACAGGGTAAAGGCAACAAAACCATTTTATTTGTGTCATTTTCTCAGAGAACACACCCCTGACTCCCAACACATCCATTCTGAGAAATGTATTAGGGTCCCTCCTCAATCTGTGCTTGCTGTTATTTGCTTGAGCTGTGTCTGGAGAAAGAAGATACGAATGGGAGGAGGCAGTGGTGCTCTGCTGATCCACTAAAGCAATCAAAGAACATTTCAAACTGGAAGGATTATCAAGTCCATAAGGATTATCAAGTCCAACTCCAAATCCAGGCACATTTGGTCAATCCAAAACAAAGATACCATGACGAAATACATAAAAAGGTACAACAGTATTTCAGACTCATCTTCCTTAGGTAGCAGGAACTTACCTGAAGCATCCCTGGCTCATTCTTCAGAAAATATTTACTGTCAAGTGAGGGAATTGGTTCTGAAGCATATTTTCTTTTAATGTTATCACAGATTTCTGGGGAAGATGAATAGGGGGGAATGATCCACATTCTGCAAAAGCCTCTAAATCACTGAACAGAGCACAATGCTCCTTCATGTACTTATATCACATGCTAAGTAGAAGAGATCCTGCAAATCTAAGGTCATTCTCCCAACCTCAACCTCAACTTAGAAGACTGGAAAATCTATCCCTCATACTGATAGTCAACTACTGGAAACTGCTACTTGACAGCTGCCAAAATTCAGCAGTCTGCATTTCATCCACTGTTTCCAACACATGGCAAATGCAAAAGGATAAAAAAATAAAAAAGATGGAATGTTTTGGTAAAAGGAGAGAAGAAAACTAGAAGGTCCCATTCCACCATATCAAAATGCCAGGTCTGGCAACTCCTTGGTTATGGACAGAAGTTTTCCCACTCTCTATCAAGACAATAGCAGAAATATAAACAAGGAGAGCTTCAGAGAAGGCTGACCAAGCAAGACTGACGATTGGAAAAGCTGCTGTTTCACCAACATCATATTTTCAAAAGCAAGTGATCTAAATTGTGTATGGAAGATGTCTTCACATCTGACAGGAAGAGCACAAAGAATATCAAGGACACATAAGACTTCAGAAGGACATGAGAGAATCCCAGGAGAGCAACCCTGTGTGACAGGTGGCTTCACAAGGTTTTCCAGTGGAATTCTCTATCCCAAGCTCTGGGAAATCAATCTCCAGCTAAGCAGCTGGAGCTTTTCTTCCCCAGTGATAGTGCTTATGCTACACAGCATCTCCATTTCCTCAGTAAAAAAACTTCTCCACTCAGTCACCCTACCCATGAGACAGAGCCCAGGCAGTACTTCCTGCCACTTGGAGGATTACAGCTGTAGCAGCCAAACTGCCCCACCAAAACAGCTTGCCCCAGCAATAAAACCCACTCTGAGCATGATCCAGGCTTTTGCACATCCCCACCCTCCCTCACATTTGGCATAAAGAACTTATGAACAGATGCCAAGTCACAGAATATCTGGCGGACTCTGTGAAATTTAATGTAAACATCCTGAGCTTTTTAGTAATCTTAGGTGGAAACACCACAGAGCTGCACATTGGAGATGTTTGAAATTCTGTGATCACAGTGACAGCTCTGATCCTGGCCCAGACTAATTTTATTTTGAGACAACCACAACAAAAGCCGAAGCATAGGCAGAGTCACAAAATAAATTGTGGGGGAGAATTTCTACCATAACATAAGAGATGAGTTGCTCTGCAGGGTTTGGTGTGGCCATGCAGGTATCAGGGTTAAGCATGACGAGGGAACACCCCATTTCTACTGAGGCTGTCCCTGCAAGAGCTCAGGAGATAAGGTAGGAGATATGAGGCACACACAGATTTATGCTCTCTTCCTCATCACATCCTCTTGCAAATCCCACTTGACAAGCAGCAAGGAACCATCCTGACAAAATCAACAGCTGAGGAAGCTGCTTTAGATGTGGAGTGCTACACAAGGACTTCAGCAACCTGAAGTCCTACCCTCCCACAATGCCTTCCTCAAAAGAGGGAAATGGTCCACTAAACCATCTTCATCATTGCATTTCCTCTTACCAGCACATTCCATGTAGTAATGATGTATCAGCACAAACCTCTGTCTGTTTTGGGAGAACTTCATCACCTCAAAGAACTTTGTGGCCATTTCAACACCACACAGCATCTCAGGGTCCACAAGGCCTCCAACTGCAGAACCCTAAAATCTTGCAAAGGATCCCAGGCAGAAGCACTCTGTGCCCATCCTGCCTCACAGTTTTCTCTACGAATCCTTCGTTCATCACTCTGGGACATGAGTTCTCAAGACAACCGCATCATGATTCATTCTTTTCATAAGACATGGCCCATGCCCTTCTCAATAAATTCCACATTCCTCAGGCAGCTCTTCTGCTCAGAGTCTCATCAAAACAAATCTGGACCTAACTGTGCCACTGCCACACTCACTTTAAAAAACATGATACACTTTCCATCCTTTACAGAAAGGAAAAAAAGATACAAGGAAAAAGATAATAGTATAAGTCCATACTCCATTTCCTGCTTTCTCAATGAGCCTGTTGGTGGAACCTAAATGCAGAATTTTTGTTTCCACAGGGAGTCAAATAGTTGAAATAGAAGTGTAATTTTGTGTCACATCTCAGGCAAGGAAAATGAAACAGGAGAGATTTCAGTAACAATACAGACCTAATACCAACATAGGCAAAAGTCAGGGAAGGCTTAAGTCAAAACCACGTGACTGGGGGACTATCACCAACGTTTGTCGTGTATTCCTGCACCAAGCTGGCATTGAAACCCTTCACGCAAAAAAGTAACAAACCTGCCTACAAAGCTGGGACCCCGGGCACCTCTCAGTGCAACAGGCAATGATTTCATTCCTGAGTAAAATTCCTGTCTAGCACAGCGAAATTCACTTGCGGTTGGTAGCAGTTCTGGAGTGCAAAAATAAGTTAATTCGGCCTCCACGCACCAAGAAATTGCAACTTCAGGTGAGGAAAGGCCGACAATGGAAATGTCCCTTTAATATCTTTAAACACCCAGTGCCCTCAGTCTGCGGGGGCGGAGCCTCGCTGCAAGCAAGAAATACCCAGGGGGCAGAGAGAATGGGCGGAGAAAAGAGACTGCGAAGGAAAGAGCGAGAGGCGAACAAGGCAGTGCCACTGACCGTGTCGAGGAGAGCGGAGGGCTCCGGCTGCGTGTCCTTGGCTGCAGGAGCGGGCGGCGGCGGAGGGAAGTTGGGGCTGAAAACCATGAGGTCGCTCTTGGCAGCGCCGTCCGCCACGCACAGGCTGCGGCTGTGGCGCTGCGNCTCTCTTCCGCGTCCTTCTCCTCTCCCTCTCTCTATGTCTTTCTGTCTCCATTTTTTTTGTTTTTTCACCGTGCTTCATCATATTAATTTTCTTTCTAATTCCACTTTTTCATCTCTCCTTTTTTTCTTTCAGTTCTGTATTCCTTATCTTCTCTTTTAGTTTCTGTTTTCTACATTTTTCTTTTCTTTTTTACCTCTTTCTTTTGCCGCTCTATCTCTTTGTTCCTGCTTTTTTTGCTTCCTTCTTCTCTTCTTTCTCTACTTTTTTCTCGCCCTGTCTGTCCATTTTGTACTTCCCTTCATAATTTATTTCTATCCATGTCTTTTAAAACTCTGCTGACAAGTTGCCGGTGACTTCCCATGGTGTGATCGAGGCAATCAATGTAGGAACCATTTGTTCTAATTACAGGACGTCATATCCTTTGCACGGGACTGTAGCCAATGGGGAGATCACAGGAGGCCATTCAGCTTTAGAATGAAACGTCGGTGTATGCTGGTA